TTGTGCGTTTTTTCCTTTATTTATTTTAAATACAAGACAGTATAGTTAGCATAAATTTTGGACCAAATTTGGATGCTCAGAATGCAGGAAATGACATTTCTGGGATTCAAATTTCAAAAATTTTCTGGGGGAGTACTCCCCCAGACCACCCCCCATTCATGCGTGGTATATTGGCCACACACGTAGCCTTCAGCCATTGCTATCCCCCTCTAATATATTATCTCACAGAAAAGTCCCTTTTCAAAAAATGCCCCCCCACGGGAAAATCCTTAAAAAAGGCCCTGGACCCCCGAGACAGAATACAGCAAATTGTTGAAGTCTTCGGCGGCATCGAACATGGATTTCGCGAGATTTTGAAGATTAGACTTCTCAAAAATTGTCAATCGGCGGTCCAACACCAACACGAAGAGTAAAACGTGAGTACAAAATGCCTACGAGTTGTAAATTTTCTTTAAACGTATCGTTTTAGCTATAATTTAGCTATATATTTTCCGCCATGTTTACAGACAACCTCGTACCCAGGGCCTTTGCGCGGTTCAGAGGCTCTGGTACGGGAAGCAAAGGCCCTGGTAAACACTGGTCACGTGTGTCCAAAAATATTGGACATTTCGTAATAATTTAGTTTTCAATCCGGGGGGAGCGGAGCCGATTGATTTTGTCAAACATGGCAGCGGGAAGGCGCGACGTTTTCGAGTTTTATTAGTTTACGATAAATAAAACTTTCCTAGTGAGATTTAAAGTGGGTACATATTAAAACTATGTATTCTACGAGTTTTCTTTCAACAAATTGTGGAATAGCGAACGGTAATACTTATCAAAGATCAAACTGAGAGAAAACTAGTCGAGTGTAAACTGTCTATTTTGTATCCATGCAGCTCAGCAGCTGCAGCAGCTGCTTGTGTGCGACCTTTTATAAAGAATTAAATAAACATTGTTGATTAATAATGATTATAAGTACTTTTTACGTATTGACCAAAGAATATCACTTGGGATTTTATTGTACTTTCATGCGGAAGGATACATATATACTCAAGTAAATATGTGCCTGTATAGTGAAAGGCCGAAAGGGACATATATGGAAACGAAATTCTTCATGTGTACACATGTAGTTATCAAAGCAGAATATTTTGACAGCGACAGGTTGGTTTCCGTATCTATGTAGTTTAAAATACAGTTGTGAATGAAATTATACATAGTATCTTGAAACCTTTGTGTGTGAGTTAATTTCATATTTATTTTTTGGGATGTTTATTTCTCCGAAGTGACTATATGACCGGCAGCCGGTCACGGTTTATCAAATACTAAATGGCCGGCAGTCTAGTGACTATTGTTAAAGTTGAATTTTTATAAGATAAACCTATCCCCAACCCCAAACCCTTTTCTAACCCTAACCCCTAACCCTAATTAACCGTGGTCAGACAAAACACATCCCGACTTTATATTATATAAATTCTTATATAATATAATAATCCCGACTGCGTTTAACTTTCCGCACGCAGCGCCCTTGCCGTATGAGCTAACGGCAAGCTCGGCAAAAGTTAACGCAAACAAAAGTTTTTATATTCAACTATAGTCACTAGACTGCCGGCCATTTAGTATTTGATAAACCGTGACCGGCAGCCGGTCATATAGTCACTTTGCTATTTCTCATTGTCTGGAAGAAGGGGGTAAGGGGGGGGGGGTACCAATCATGAGAAATAATATCCAGTGGTCTTGAAATATGAAAAATATTAGAAGACTTCAGGGACTTCATCTAGGTGGCAATATATTGGCATTCACCCATGGCAATATCACACAATATACCGAGAATGCAGCCATATATGCCGGGATGGATTTTTACTGGGGGGTGCGGACCCCCCTAGCCCTTGCCAGAGGAGGTGCAGGGGGGGTGCTATTTTTTATGATAAAGCAAAAAAGACAAGATGAGATACAGTAATTTGAGTAATGATAAGTGAACTGTGAACAACAACTACAATTCAAATACAGTAGTTTGTTGATGGGCGGGCGGCACGTATGACCGACACAACTCTGCAGTCGGCACCAGAGCACCTACCAGATCATGCTGGATCCATCCCTGCCCCCATGCAGGTTCTGCCTTCTCACCAGCACAATTGATCAAGTCATACACATTCATTACTGCCAATCTATTTATTATTTATGTCTCATTACAATTGGTATGTACAATATATTTTCATTATCTTGTGCATCACCAGTATCATCACAACTTGTATTTCACTAGCATCATCATCATTATTCTCACCATTCTAATTACACTGGCCTGTAAGGCCAAGTGTCTTAAATCCCCCTTTTTCTGTTTTTTTCGTAGTCCAGAAATCAAGTTTGCGTTAGCTCATCGCAGGCTCAGGGTGCGACGATTAAGCCAAAATGCCATCGATTCCCTCGGTTCCATGATTTAGATAGTATAGTAATAAGCTCGTATATATGTACAGTACGTAATAGCCGACTCATGCCATGCTTGTGGTACATTTTTCGTTTATTAGCCTATACACTTGTACGCACGCGCACAATTACGAACTGCAATGGCGGCTTCTCACAGAGTGATCAAACTATATTTTACACAGTTTCGTTGAATTTTCAAAAAATTGTGCCGGTTTCCTATGTATTTTACGTTGTGTCCTACTCTGGACTTTCTTGCGTGTTGAATTAATGTGTTTTTCTTCGTGTGATGACTCGAAAACCACAAAATATAATATTTAATACTCCACGAAATATAATCCGCGCGAAAAGCTTTGTGGTAGCTATACAAGATAAAGATAAAGCGTGCGTTCAAAATACCAACAAGAACTAGAACCATTATTGTATCATTTGTATGGTTCTCATTTGCTAGACTTGCCACAAGTCGACCTCGAAGAAACGCATTTCGTTCGAGGTCGACTTGTGGCAAGTCTACTCATTTACAATAACATTGGTTCGACGCGAATTTTAATACAAGTATGGTATCATATTTCATAATACAACAAACAATGTAAACTAGCCATACATTTTGTCGAACATAACTTCGGCCCCTTTGGACATATCTTTTTCGTGATAATGTTATTGGAACCAGAATCGAAATCACTATTTATAGTGTTATTTTCAAGCTTGTATCTTGAGATTTTCATCTTTTATTTCGGTATTTACAGAATATTTATATTTTTAGCGCGACCCATGGAACGCACATGAAAACAACGCGCTGTTAGGAAAAACTGGAAATGGATTCGGCATGATTTGCACGTGCATTGATCTCCATTGCGTCTTCCGAAAAGGTCTTTTATTTTTTTAAAAAGTCCATAAAATTTGCTTTCGGTTTAAGATTTGTATTCCTGCCTTTTGCACCATAGCACGTATCTCGTTATTTTCAGGCCAGTGTGAACGCCTGAGCAGGCGTCTTGTTTTATTTATAGTCAATCACAGTGAATCAAAAGTTTCCTATCACACCACTCATATTACTTAATTGCCCAAGGTTAAGGCCATTTCACAGTACTCCAGGATCTGAATACCTGCAACCACGTTTTTGATCTTATTCTAAAACAGAGACAAACAACAAATGTCTTACTGGAATATCATTGCAATAAATTGACTGTCATTTGAAACCACATTCTGCTGTATTAGTAACAGTACAACTGCTCAAGGTCGCAACTAAGGTAAATAATAGGGATGTAGAAAGTTAATACTGATTACTGGTAATTATCTTTTTACATTTTGCTCACAACCGAAGTCTAATTATATGGAGCAAGTATAGAATATCCAGCCACTTTTTATTATTCACTTAACCTTACCCTTGACCACTGATCTAATAGTGCTCTTGACAAGTAAAATTGTCTGGTGTTGGACAGAGAAAAATAACAAAGTATGCCATATTTGATTATCCCATTGGTGTGCAAGACTCTCCTTTGGATGGGCAAAATACTAAAATTGGGGGCTATGGAGATTTTATGGCAAGAGGTGGGGGAACATTTTCTCCAGTAGAATGTATGTTGGTCATTGGAATTTTTTAAAATTAAACATCAAAATCATAAACCAGAGTATTGAGGCGATAAAGAAAAGAATACCGGACTGTAAAATTAATGTAATCAAATTTTCTTGTCACATACAGAAAGTTGGGTACCGGGTAAGGTTGGCATTTCCACACTTTTCTATTATCATCGTACTATTCTGTTAAGTTTTTATTGGATGAGTCGGAGACCAATGGTTGGAATGAGGGCAGTTAATTTGTAATTCTTGCATGTATTCATTTATTAACTTTTGACTACTGTAATAGTCAGCCAGTTAAGTACAGCTTGACGATTTTACATGTCAAAGAGAACTCCAGTTATGAAAGACTGAATATTTTCTGAGCAAGCTGGGACAAAAGATTTTGATTTTAGTGAAGGAGGATGCAGATAACAAAAGAATATATCAGGCATGAAGGAGGGTCTATATCCAAAAGCGAAAGATGGAGGAATAATTAGACAAAGAAACTAATTATACAAACAGAGAGCCACGAATCGGCTGGAATTTAGGATATATAAACTGATAAATATATGAGAATATATAAATTTTTATATAATATGCATTATAAAATCGTACCTCGAATATAAAACATTCGATCTTTCATCTTTATAGCATTCAAAATCCATGTGGCTTAAAACACTTGTTATACATTCATATTTTAAAAATCAAAGGCAAAATATATATATTTTTAAAATTTAGTTCGCCCATTGCAATGTTCAGTTCTTCAATCCCCCCCCCCCCGGGATGACATGACTTTAATAAGGCCAGGTTACAAAAATGTCCAATATTTTTGGACACACGTAACCAGTGTTTACCAGGGCCTTTGCTTCCCGTACCAGAGCCTCTGAACCGCGCAAAGGCCCTGGGTACGAGGTTGGTTTACAGATTCTTCGAGTTTGCAAGCGCGCGCGGCAGCACGGTATGGATTTCTATTTGGGGGGCCCCTGCTGTGCGCTGATTGGCTAAAAATTTTCGCCCAGATCACCTGGACCTAATATATTGGATTTCTAACTTAAGCTTATGTACTTCTTCATCTTTTTTTGTTTTATAGTAGATTCCATCTCCTTCTGCTTAACGTGCATTGAGTTGATATCATCAAACTTAGATTCTTGCTGAGATATCGAAGTAAATAGTCGAGATTCTAAAGTCTTTAAGTCGAGTTTCACTCCTTCCAACTGAGCGATTATATCTCTGTTTATACAGTTATCAGTATGTTCACATACCTTGACCTTTGATACCGAACTGCTGTTGCTCACATTTGTTACCTCATCACATTCGAATGTATTCACTAAGCTCGACAATTTTCGTTTTAAGTATTGTTCGTTATCATCCAGGATTATGAGCTTTTTTGAGTGACCGTACCATTTTATATTAAATTCGGAATTTTCAGTATTAAACAGCTTGATATCGCCACCAGGAGATGCTCACTTCTCCTTTAGTTCCAGAGATTTGTCTACAAATTGCTTCAACTCAGGTATTAAGCCGATAAACCGATATACTTCGCCGTCAAAAGACAATTTGTTTGTATAGGTCATATTTATACGGAGCACTTAAATATACGTCCGCTCACTTCAATCCTATGGCTCTACCTTGTTTGTCAGCTGCTTCATACCATTTATGTAGCATGTAGACTAATGCCATACTAGTGTTTGAACCCTTCAGCGAACCAAATTGCAACGGTTCAATTTTTTTTGAGACGGAGTTAAGAAGCCATTTGTAGGGAAAGGATTCAAGAGCCTTGCTGATAATTGGTGTGAGGGAGGAGATTGGTCTGAAGTCAGAATCAACATCTTTAGGGGCGAAGATTTTTCAATTGGTGTAATATTTGCTGCCTTCCATATGGAGGGAACAAACCCTTCGCGAACTTATGCGTTAAAAATGGAACACAAAGGTCGGCACAACGCTGAAGCGTTTTCCCGGAGAAGCCAAGAAGGAATTTCATCGGGACCAGCAGATGAATGAAGTTTAGATGATAACAGAGCCTTTTCAGTCTCCCTGACAGAGATGCA